ACTGAACGACGACCATAAAAGCTTGATTAATTAGCCATGCCGTGCCGACGAAGCTTTCGTGACGTTACCCCGCCCAATCGAATGTTGCTGCACTGTCGGCGTTTCTCCCCATAATTCTTCTAACTACTATTTTGCGTAAACAAAAACTCGAAGGGAAAGAGAAGGCTACGTTATTAAAGACGACACTCTACCGAAAGAATTCAGGTATATGGATTATCCTAAAAGAATAAACATTAATACTATTTTATAATTTGAAAAAGAAAAGTAAGTACTTATAAAATATGGGCAAGCTATATATATGTATAATAATCACTTATAATTACACACATATTATTTGAAAATCTTTAGTGTTTTCTTAACATATTTTTTATAATAGTTATTATTATCACATAAATAATAAATAAATTTAAGAAAATAGTTATATTTATTACAATTGCATTTACTGAATAAGAATGTATATTTTATTTATCATTTATGACTTGATATCATTATATTAATATTGGAAATTTATAGCACAATTTATGGTACAAATTTTTTATATTTGAGAAAACTGTATACATATAAAGTTATTATTATTAATATTATAGCAACAATAACCATAAAAATAAAACCCCTAACTTAATTATTTTATCTTGCAATTATGCCAAACACTTTTCCGTCAGTAAATTTCATAAAATATTAGTAATAAATATTTCTTTGTCAAATTTAATTGGATTATTGCTAAATTTATTACTGCTAAAGTTATACGTCACCACTTGAAGATTGAGGCATAAATCTAGATACAAATCGCTTGTTTCGAGCTACAGAGTTAATCTCTTGAAAAGTGGATAAGATTTTATGTCTCTCTCGTCACAGGAGGAAGCGCATCGGCGCGTACCTTATGTAAATGTTCGGCGAATACACGTAAAGGCACGTGTCCACGGGGACCAGCCGGCAAATTGAGATTCACGCGTCTACCGACTTCGCCGGCCGACATACGATCGATGTTTCCGTCCACGTGCGCACCTCTGCATTCTGGTTTGCCTCGTCCGACGAAGGGAAGTACGGAGTCTTCTCTCCCGCCTTTCGCTCGACCTCTTCATATTTTTATCTTTTTATTTTTCGTCCTGTCAGCGTGATGAATCGCGCCAGATTTAATTCGGTGCGGTTACCGTGCGGAGAAAATCACTCTAAATTAATTGCACTTATCGCGGATTAATTGCACCTCGTCACGCGTAGCGAGTATTAACGCAGGTCTCCATAGGTAATGTATTTGTGATTTATTCAGTTGCGTGGCGGAACTTGACGGTTTCCATCACGACAAAATATCGGTTTTGTCAATCTGAGCTCCGCTTGTCGAAAGTGATATAATATAAGCCAAAATTGTCGTGCCGTCGAATTTGCATGAACAAGATATTTGCAGAATATTTACATAAGCGTTTAATTTCTTACAATTTTTATTCTAAATGATCAACACTAATAATTCGTAATTTAGTGAAGCTGTATACTTCCAGACTGACGAATCGAATTGCAGGAGCTTTTGTTAACGGCAAGTTACTTTGAGAACCTTAAAATTTGAAATTACTCAGTCCCTTCTGAAGATTGATGGCTATGTGGGTTGCCATTCGCGCGGAAATTTATAACTTGCATGTATATACCGATTTCTATACATGAACTGAAGGTGTTATATGATTTCTACTAAAGCTGCATTTCAAATCTATAAAGTTCAAAGTCGCGAGATTGCACGTAAAAATTTATGGTAACGTCCAAACTTCCAACCAAAAATTTATAACTTTTGATAAACATGCGTGTACATGCGTAAGTAGATTCTAAAACGACTTGATAACTTTGCATTTTATGTTTATGCGTTAAAAATTTTCTCTCAAATATGTATTATTATACTCACATTAGATTTAAATGTACAATTATTCCGCTTTAAATGTAGAAACGACGAAGGCATTACAAATTTTAATTAATGTATATTTTAATTTAAAACAAGCATTTAAACCGTAAATTTTTTTGAATAATATAACAATGATCAATTCATTATTGAATAAGAAATGATTCTTTTATTTTATTGTTATAATTATTTTGGTTGTGATTAAGATTACAAAGGTAAATAATCAGTATTGATACATACATTATATACAATTATATTAGATAAAAAGACATACATACTACGATTTATATTTCTGCTTTTATATTTATACATATATGACATTATATATATTATATATAAACTATATTACATGTATCTATATTATATCTATATTATATATAAAGCCGAAGCACAAGAATCTTAAACAATTTTACTTTAATTTAGTTTTAAATGTTTCTTTTATATAAAAACTGTTACACAATTTCAAAATTTAAAATAAGGGCCCAAAATGTTACGTCATGTACATATAAGTGTATACAAGTCGCATGAGTATATAACTAAACTGATGTGGTAACTAAATATAAAGGTACAAATGATAAAATATAAATTAATAATATAGCTCACTTAGAATAAATCAATATAAATAAATAAAAAGACGAGCCAGTTAAAAATAAATTAATATTCCGAAAAATATGTATGGTCCATTGAAATGTAGAAATCGCTCAATGTGATTGACAAACGAGTGATAATCTCATTTTTCTTCTTTGAAAAAATTTCTGTTCACCAACAATTTTTTAACAGCTGTTAGAATCAAGTCAAAATTTCAATAGACCACACATATTTTTTGAAAATAAAATAGAACAAAGGAACATCCGATATGTATCAACTTTTTAAATTTTACTAGATAACTTATGTAACATTATAAATAAATATAAAGAAATACAGTAACAAATGTTTTAACATCGATCGAATTATTCTTAATGTTAAGGCGCATTCAAAAAATTATAATATTATATAAGTTATCAGATTCTCAGATCAAAAATACAATATTACATAAGTTATTTAGTAAAATTAAAAATGTTAATACATATCGGATGTTCCATCTTATTTTCAAAAAATATGTGTGGTCCATTGAAATTTTGACTTGATCCTAACAGCTATTAAAAAATTATTGGTGAACAGAATAGTTTTTCAAAGAGGAAAATTGAGATTATCACTCGTTTGTCAATCACATTAAGCAATTTCTACATTACAAATTTCAATGTACCACACATATTTTTTGAAAATAAGATGAACATCCGATATGTATCAACATTTTTACTAGATAACTTTTACTAGTTTAGATAAATTTTACTAGATAACTTATGTAATATTGTATTTATGATCTGAGAATCCGATAACTTATGTAATATTATAATTTTCTAAACGTTTCTTATAATATTTCTTTATATTTATTTCGGAATATTAAATGTTCTTAATTTATTTTTAACTGGTCCCTTTAACTCGTAGCCTTTCTATTTATTTATTATATATTAACAAATAATAAAATCGCGGAATACACTTTTGGGAGCGTAATCAATTGACTATGCTGTAAAATTGAATTATTATCATGTACCCCAATTGTGCTTAAAAAAGTAATTACTATCCGTAAGCAAATCTGCCTCAGTAGCTGCACACAGAACGTCTTTATTAACAAAAAAATGTTAATTTTATTGTCAGTATTTACACGACAGAATCGACCAACGCTACAACGTTTTAACACGACAATTATCTTTTGTAAATTTTATTCATATTACAATTTTTGTATCATATTTACATTATATTTTTATTTACATTATATTTATATTTTTATCATAGCTGCTTTACATGTAATATAAAGTATTTTAAAAAGTATATATAATAATATGGCTCAATAAAAGTTTACATTATATTTCTATTTTTATCATAGCTGCTTTACATGTAATATAAAGTATTTTAAAATACAAATGTTAAATCAATTAAAGCTTTGATAATTTAGTATTTTCAGTAAAATATGTAAAATAATAAAAAATGTCGCTTTTTTCGGAAATTTGCAAATAGAATTTCAACCTTACAGGATTACAGAATTACACTAAATATTGCTCATAACTATATTCTAATAAATAGAATTTAATTTCTTGATTAAATTATAGTCTGTGAATGTTATTGAATTCATGCAAATAGTAGACATGTAATTACTACGCTATAAATAAATCGTATATATTGATTTATTCCTTTCCACTATTGCATATATGCAACATTTCAAAAGTAAAATATCTTCATGATATTGACAAATTTATTCCTTAAATCAGTTAGTCATCAACTCATAAAAAGAGCTGCAGAAACTTGTCAATTAAATCGTAAATTTAGTTATCAGTACTTGAAAAAAGCGAAATTTAGTTCGGTCGTTGTACGCTGAGGAATTCAGAGTAAGCAGTTATACAACGAAGGTGTGACGTGGTCCTTCCTAAAAGTTTATAACTTTATTACGAATTTTCTGAGAGGCCTGGAAAGAATTCTCTGATGCGAAAGTTTGGCAACTTCTCGCATTCTTGGCGCGTATTTTAACTTTCTCTTCTTGACTTCTGTTCTTTCTACTAAACCTCTTCTGGAGATACAGTGTTATTAATACCAATTTAACGTGTACGGAATGAAGAGGTATATCCAAAAAAGATCTTTATTTTCTACTGAGATTACAAATTAAACAATTTTCCACGTTCGTATATGTTTCATTAATCAATGAATTTTGAGCGTAAATTGAATGAACAAAGTTTTTCATTGTACTCTCTCTATTTCTAACCAATTAATTGCGATGACAAAATGCATATGAATATAACTATACGCCATTGTAGATGTAGCATTCTTTGCAAAAATTGAAGTTCAATTTTGTTGAATAAAAACTGAAATTCAATATAATTTCTATTTGCAAAAAGAATTTATTTCGAAATTAAAGAAAAAAAACTGTAATCGAAACCTATAAAAGAAAATATTATGAAAGAAATCTAGAAAATTAATGTTGCACATTAATTAATAAAACATATTTTTTTCTCTATTTCTTCCTTTTTTTCACTTTATAAAACTTAAGCTTAAAGAACTTAAAAAAATTTAATAGTATAAATCGTGGTTCTTTATCATATGATACTCTAATTTCTTGTTACCTATATTTCTTAATTTATATTTCTTAATGTATAGTAAATATATGAATTTTATGGAAATACTTTTGAGAAGGAAACTTTTGAAAATAACTTATTAACAATGTTAGTCAACCATGGATCCCATGCTTCAGACGTTATTGGTAACATTACTCGATACAATGGTGGCCAAAATTCATTTACAAAACTTACGGCAACATCATCTGAAAAATTAAAAATTGATATATATCAATATTATTGAGAAACATATAAATATGTAATTACAATATAAGTGTAATCATAAATGTAATTACATTTATATAAATAATTTTTTTTGTTTTGTAATCCTCTGTTTGAAAAAATAAATAAAAACATTAAGATAAAAAATAGTTAAATACAATTTTAATTTTTGCAAATAATATATTTTTACCTTTTTACTTTTTTTTTAAATCAATGATTAGCTTAATAACTGCATTATTATATAATTTGTAATTAATATATTACACAGCGAAAAGTTATCTAATACTTCGTCTATATTTACAAGATTTCCGAAGAAATGTTCTTAAAAATAAGTTTTTAAGATAAAAAATGTTTAATTACATATACTTTTTAATTTCATGGTATATACTATACATATCTAATTATTTTTATTTACAAGTATATATATGTACATGTACCAATTACTCATTATCAATTTTTCTTAATTATTCTAAACAAACTTTTATCGAAATAACAAGATTTACATTTAAATTAAGTGCTTTTTCTATTATTATAATATAATTTAATATATATTAGATAAAATAGTAAGAGAATAATTATATCTAACTTAATTTAATACTCACTAATCTCTTTATTTTCTTGGAACAAATCAAAATATATTTTAAGTTTTCTAACTGATGGAAGTACACGGATATGTTCTACAATCCATGTATCATTTACTACATGTCCTGTCATATCCCACGTTCCATTGGTATCATAAGCAGTCAAATTAAAAGGACCTACATAAATTATAATATAATGATATAAAAAATATATAAATTATACAATCATCGTGTTGTATATTAAGGGTTAATAATATTTCTGAATAAAATAATGATAGTTGTAAAAATTTAATGCTTTTTGAGGCTCCCACAGTATTCACTTCAATGGTACCAAAGGGTTTGCCGGTTATTGCCGCAAACCTTCTGATAATTTTAATATTATTTTATAAGAATAATAAGTTAAAGAAATATATAAAATTTAAGTACAACATTTAATACTTTAATATTTAACAGTACTTGTTAGTATTACTTATAATTATTATTGTATAGGGACAGAATTTATATAAATTCTATTTAGACTTATATCGTTTTTCATTGGCAGAACTGGTGCGCACTCAATACACACTTAAAGCCGTTCATAAATCGACGTAAAGATATATGTTTAATAACAAAATATAGAAACAAGTTAAACCGCGAAATTTTCAATATATTTTATTATGCTATTTGATAAAATGTACATCAGGTATTTTATCAATTGAGATCTCACTTTTACATTCAGATCAGTGTACAATGGCTTTAATGTGTACCGAGTGCACACCAGTTCTGTCAATGAAAAACGGTATTAAAATGTATAATAAAGATACATTTTTATATGTATATGTATATACTGCCTAATTTATGGAGAGAGAGAGAGAAAGAGAGAGAGAATTAAATTATTATTATTATTTTAATTGATTAGTAATGAGATTGTAACGAAACAAATTGTCGTAAATCTTTGTTTAAAGAATTTTATACATTACACAAATATAACTAATTTTGAGCGTATAAATATTACGTTCAACAAAATAAATAATGTAGCTTTGTTTGTTCATGCAAACTGTGCAAAATTTATTATCGTACCTTCACTAGCAATTCTAAATATACCTAGAGTACCATTCATTTTTACAGTACCATTTAGGATTAATTTCGATACTAGTGCGTCAATTTCTAAACGGAAAACGTCATCAAGAAAGTGTGGTCTTATATCACTAACTTGAACCTTCGACAAACCGGTTGCAATTGTATTTATCAAAGCAACTTCTGCATGTATATCCCCTGAATTAAATACAACTTTGCCGAAATCGTATAATAATGGATCTACTGGTGGGAAGTCAAATTCTGGAAGTCCTATAAAATGAATAAACCATTATATACACATTTTTAAGCAAACAGATCAAATAATTTTAAATTATTTTTAATCTGCTTTAAATAAAGAGAGTGAAATTACAAGTCATAAATTTATAGATTCATTTTATTTACTGTTAACGTGATAATATTCTGTTCATATCACAGTAGTGTAATTTTAAATATAAATAAACAAACATATTTTATTTAAAAGATATGTATGAATTAAAATAACAGAACTTAGAAATTTTTAATAAAGATACCTTTGACAAACCGTGGAAATGCTTCTTTAAAAGCTTGTTTTAAACAAGCGGAATAATCAACTGAATCTCGTTTGCAGATTGTTGCAGCTAAATAGAAATATATAAAATAAAATAAATTAGTAGTAAAATTATAAAATAATATAGGATTTTGAATAAAAATACAATATAGGATTTTGAATAAAAATTATAAAAATTCATAAATTGTTTTAATAAAATATAATTCAAAGATTTAAAAAGTATCTAACTTTTTGACAAGTATATATGTATAAGCTATTCAACACATTTCATTATGTTTTATAATAAAGATAACACATACAAATATTTTTTCACTTTTTTCTTTTTAAATGATGTAATTAATAATATTGCGATATGTAATTCATCATTAATACTCATAATTTGTACGTGTATTATCACTATTAAAAGCTATTATTCGTAAATGTGAATAAGAACATCAATTTTCCTTAGAAAAATACAAAACATGTGTCTAACGAAAAAGTTACTTTCTATAATAGAACGATTAATAAATACAGAAGAGTAGCTGTCACAATATTTAATTTAAGTATTTCAGCATAAGTTTGTATAGCTGATCGTGTAATTGTGTATTAGAATATGTTTTTACTTGTATATATGTTATCTTAAAATTATAATATGTCTGTTATTTGAAGACATTCTTATGTCAACTTGACATTGATTTTGTACAGTAAATATTTTATGCGAATAGAACGATACATATATATACATATATATATATATACACAGATTTATAGATGTCAATATGGAATAATATTATTAACTGTTTAAGTACTGCGCAGTACGATAAATTGCTCGCATTATAGATTCAAAAAACTAGTACTTCCATATTCTACAGCGCATTATAGTTATTGTGCTTGGAAAAGTAGTTTATTAAACTGGAACTGATTAACGTAGGTATACTAAATCAATTGCATAATCAATGGTGATTACTGTTATGAACGTTAAGAAAACTACGCAATCATGTTGCTTGGTATTTTTTGACATAAAATAAGAAAAGCGCGATTACGCAATTTGACATTTTTCGATCGGATTTTGTGATTCAGTCAGAAAAAAGATAAAAAAGAATTATTGAAGAAGACTTACGGAAAGTAAGTTCTCCAGATGCTAATCCAAATAGCACAATACTGAGTACATTAAGTAGATAGAAAAACATGTTGATTGTTCAGTAGTCCAACGACCATGCAGTTTAATCGTACGGTACACGATGAGTCTTCAACTCTCAAGGTTTCTGAAGCAATAGAATGTAACATTATATGCGCAGATATATAAATTCATCAAATGTCTAAGATGTTTGATGTTTCGATTACTAATCAAAGAATAAATTTCTTATAGTTTTTTAAATAGCAAATGCATATGTATATAATATATACATTATATACATTGTACATATATTTAAATATAAGTAATTTGTATAGGAAATAAACTTTAATAAAAATATAAGAAAAATATATATAAAGACTCTCGAAAATATTAAATATAAAACAACAAGTACGAGAAGGGCAATTTTGTGCAGTAACTTTATAAATATTTTATACAACTATTCAATATTGATTTAAAAAACATAAGGAAACGTTCCTTCAATTCAATATGCTTTTAATTTATCATTATATGTCCTTAAGTCAAATTGATATGTCATGGTTACAAATAAAAAGATTAAAATTAAGTCAATAATAAAGGGTTGAATTAACTACTTATGTTTGTGACAGCCCGTGATACATGCATTTAATTGACTTAATCTATCTTTTTATTCATCAGCATTTTGTCTCAGTGTATTTATGTCGAAAAAGTACAAAGATATTTAAAATAAAATTATGTATCTGTATAAGTGTCTAAATTTATTTTTAACATAAATGAATCTATATCTATATCTAGTTACATCTGTCTTCAAATAATTGTAACGGTATCTGGTTATTTAAAAAACTGTATTTCTTAACTGTATTTCTGAACTGTTGCAACACTGCTAGCTACTTTGTTTTTAAATAAAATATTACTAAATAGAGAGACATTAAAAATATAATTTGTAGAATAATATTTTAGCATAAAAAAATCTTAAAAAATAAATCTCAAGAGACTTACAAACATAAATATTATTTTACATAATGAACTATATATTATTTTAAATATTTTTGTTAGTATGATAAGGTAAACAACTGTTTAATGATTAATTTGTTTATGTAAAGTGTCAAGAATAAGAATTTTTATGCCTATATTATACATATATGATGAAATTGTTAATTAATTATTGCGCCGTTATGTTGAATTTTATACACATTAGAATCTCGTAAGTATAGAGGTGCGGTTCGTTTGAACAAAGTTGTGCTTATTTCACTTCCAAACCACGAAATTCGGGACTGTATTGGAGGCTGCGGTTCTATTATTACCTCCATTCACACTATACTTACATGTTTAGCGTATATGGTAAGGCTTTAGTGCCGAGGTTCACTATTACGAGATTTCAATGTGTAACTTCTCTCTATAGATATATATATTTATTAAATTATTATCCTTTTATTAAAACCAAAAAGCGCAAAATATAAATGTAATTAAATTTAAATTTTATAATTAAAATTGAGAGTTAATTTGTGAGTAAATGGAGTAAATTGAGAGTTAATTTGTGAGTAAATTCGAAGAAAGCGGCAATTAAATGAATCATGTTAAAGGAATTTAATTTGAAAAAGAGATCGTATTTAAAATTTAGCTCATATTAATAAAATGTCCGTATGTGCAATGTAAGAGAGACGCGTATAAATTTTACGACACATTATTTATAACTAATAATTATGTAATTTTTGGAGCAAGAGCACTAAGGAAAGAGAAAAATCCAATGCTCTTGTAATTGTTACCTTTACTGTATCTTTGTCGTAATCTAAGTGTTGAGAGCGAGTTTCTCCAATGTCGGCAAGTTCTTCCAATGCTACTGAGTTCCTTCAATGTTGGTAAGTCCCAAATAAAGGCTGTTTAGACTTCGCTCCCAGATCTTTCGTTTTAATCTTTTAATATCCAGATAAATACTGTTCCACATCTAATATATCAAATTTTCAAGGCTTGTCCAGACAGATTTTGCACGTTTTTGTTTTGACCTTTAAAAATCGTTATTTGGCCAGACCTTATTACACAGGATATTTTGACGTAAGATTCTCGAAGACTACGTTTGTCGAACTCGCAAGTTCAAATAATTCCTCAGTTCTTGTTTCTACTCGATTCTTATGTTCTCCCTCTAGCTTCGTTCCCTTTCTTCTCCGTTTTCATTTTCATTATTCAGCATTCAATAATATATCGATATTATGTAATTTTATTTTTATAATTTAAATATTATTTTCATTTTGGCATTTAATTCTAATTTTTCAATCAATATAAAAATTACGTTTTTGTAGTTTATAATAATATTTTTATTTATGTTCTAATGTTTTATAAAAAATTAAAATGAGAGTTAATGGTAGAAACTTTACGCAATCAAGATAGCGTAAAGACCTTGATAATATCGGAGATAACTTTCAAGTCTCATAACTTGAAAAGTACTTAATAAAATATCATTTTATTATAGTGCTTTGAAAAGCTTTCGAAGTCAGCTACAAAAATATGCAATAAAAATTAGAGGTTTTTATTTAAAATTTTTATGATTTTTTTACGTGATCTTAATAATACTATCCAAGGTCATACTAATTTTGATTAAAATTCGTTACTTAAATCTCTTCTCTTACAACTTCTTTCATATGAAATTTTTTTTCCTTGAAAATATTTTTTTTTTTAAGACAATCAGTTGTATCAATTAAAATAAAACACTCTGTATAAGAGAAAGTAAAAATTTTTACACAAGTAAGAGTTTAATGCCTGTTACGGTCAAAGCTGGATATTAGAAGATGCTTTTAAATAATTTCGAAAAATTTTAGCTTATGTAACTCTACGTAACTATTCCCTGGTAGAAATTTGTATAGTTTGATTGAACTAGTCAATAACTATTTAGTATTATTGATTCTCGTATTACGTATGTAGTATTACATATTCTCTTTATGATACAAAAATACTGCTTAACAACTAAGCAATATTTAGTTAAAGCAGTTTTACTCTTCAATATGTATGTCGATTCTTTACAAAAGGTTTTTCATCAATATTAAAAAAGTAATCTATTTTTTATCAATTAAATTATGCATTGCTCATGTGTAATATAATAATATAGTGTAATTACATCTCGCTCTGTAAAGCATATACTTATTTTTATGTTTCTTGCTAAGTTATATGTAGTTAAAAATGTGCAATATGAAAGGCGAAAAAATGCATACAAAAATATGAGCGAAAAAAAAGAATCTTAAAGAATTTATGGAGTTTATATCACGTAATCCTGTTACAAAGATTTTAAGAGAGGTTAGAAAACAAGGAATAAACATACAGGCAATGCATTTCAACTACCAAAAATCGTATGCACAGCGATTTCAAATTGAAATCTATATTGCCTGTACCTTATTCCTTATTATTATTGCATGTGCTTTTCATTGCGTTTAAACATTTGTGCCCTTTGGACAATTCAAGAGAATAGCAATAGCAATAGAAATAACACAGGAATAACCTATCAGAAGCCGTGCATTCTAGTATATATACGGTTTCTGATAGGTTATTCTTGTATTATTTGTGTATCGCTATTCCCTTGCATTGTGTAAAGGGCATTCAGGGGAGACCGGGGACAAAAGTAATATTTTGACTTTGAAATGTTATAACAGTTAAAATATAATATTTACATTAAAAAAATATTTTAGATGTAGAGTTTATTTAGCTACAAAATTTCCTTTGGTTTAATTTTTTTATATAACTAGAAAAAAAGTTTGTTTAAAGACTATAAGGAATTTTGTTACAACCGTCCTAATCGCCGGAAACGATAGTAACGATTATAACAGTAGAAGGGGATAATTGTACCACATTTACCAGAAATTTTCGAAATTGAACAAAAGTAAATTGAATACAAGGCACCGGCCACCTCGAACCGGGCGAGTAAAAGATGATGGAATCTAAACGAAAATGGCGAGGGGCCCTCCTAAATACTATACGCCTACAGCTTCTATACCGCACGGCCACGCGCCAAGCTGAATGAAGGGACTTTGAATAATGTAATGCAATAGCACTATCGAAGCCGGCAACGCTTTTCAAAAATATATTCGAGGTGATGCAACACCCGACAAGAAGGAACACGTCTCACCTGATCGAATGGTCTCACGAGACTTCTGTCCGAGGAGGTAATCACTAGCTGAAATATTGTCCCACAGATTACATGACATCATATGATTTCATCTGATTACAAAATAATTTTTTTCACTACATATGAAGTTATTTGATAAAATATACGAATTTATTTAATATTATACAATGATTTATCGTGGTTGCATATGTAATTATCGGATTATACATAGAGATTTCATATTTTATAATATGATTTCGAGGACTGTCCCACGATTACATTAAGTGGTTACCCCCTCGCTTTTACCGTGCCTCCTTTACGCAAATCGGCGAGTTGCGTCAGATCGAGGTTATCGAATCTCAATAACGGTATATTATACCTTTGTTATAAAAAAAAAATATTTTAGATTTTGTGCACGCAATGAAACTTACTTGATACATGAAAAAAGTAATTTCTGCTCTTGCACTTGCGTATGTTCGGCGGAAATGCGCATGTAACGAATGATTTAATACTAATCTGTCTACAGAATTTTACCACGCAGCCGCATACACATATCTATTATAGTTTAAGAAATATTTACGATGCTACTATTGTCCCTTGTTACTTTTGTTCCTGGTCTCCCCTACTCATATATATAATCCGGAGACACTGGTAGTGTCTCGGCGCTAAGCATTTAGATTACATAGCTTTTTTATCTTATTTATTTGTCCTCTTACTGCTTAATAACTAAAAATTTAGATTTTGTACTTCTTTACTGTGCAGTGTAATGGCGAGGTAAAAGTGTTATATCTGGATTAACATCCTGAAGAGTTTCACTGTTCAGTTACTAGATAAAAGTCAGTACAACTGCCCAGTAATCAATAAAAAATTGCATTAAATTTCTACTAGGATTGTTAAGTAACATAAAACCTAATTTTTACTATTTAATCGCTTAATTTTTAAAAAGTTTAACTCCTTATTTTACTTGAATCTAACTCTTGCGTAATAGCAGACCAATTATATACATGCATGAGATGAATAAATTAATTTTATACATTTTCTCATGCATAATAATCTTTGATCGACGATGTATAAGAATTAAAAATAAAGTATGATGAAACATTTGAAACTTGAAACGTCATTTTTCAATAATAAAAGCAGGTAATAAGCTTGTTAAATTGATAATCAAGTGTATCAAAGTTCATTGTCGTTTTTCCACGATTTGTACTATAGGAAGGAATAAAAAGAAAGTGTAGTGAGAGAAATAAAAAAAATTAGAAGTTAAATAGTGCACGCACAGCATTATCTATGTTATATAAATGTGTTATATAAATATGTTATATAATTAAAACATTTAAAGTTTTTGAAGGTAGATATTAAATAAATAATAAATTAATTATTCTCTCTCTTCTCAAATATAAGCTACAGATTTTTACATATTCATTCATATTTAAAATATATAAAATTTGTATAATAAATAAGATATAAACGAATTATATAGATTTATAATATAATTTCTTGAATTTTATTACGTTCTTAATTTAATATTATAAGTTATAGAATATCAGAGAGAAAAATATCCACATATCTTTTGCATTTACAAAGTTAAGTGTGTTAGCAATTTTATAAGAAATTTGGCACTCCTTTGGCGTATAATAGATATATGAATTTTATGGAAATATATTCGAGAACGGAACATTCGAGAAGAACTTATTGGCAAAGTCAACCAACCATGGCTCCGATAAATCGGAAATGAATGGCAATATTACTCGGTATAATGCTGGCCAGTATTCATTCATAAAAGTTAAGGCCAAATTATCTGAAAATAAAATAATATATAAAAATTGGTTTCAATTTGCTTAAAAAAAAAAAACAAATTAATGTGAAATTACAATATACATATAATCATAGTTTTATAGACAATAATTGTTTTTATTTTGTAGTTTATTTGCGAAAATAAAAGGAATACGATATTTAGATAAGAGATAATGAAATATAATTTGAATTTGTAAAACAATATATTTTTTTTGTAAAATATTTCTAATTTTTTTTTAATTGAAATCAGTAGGTATTTTTATTTTTCGATATTATGATTCATAACAAAATATATATTAATGTGTTACGAATCATAATACCGAAACATAATATGTAGAAAGGTACCATGAAATATTTTTTAAATATATATTTTCTATGTTTAGAAAATTTTTGAAAATATTTTTTTAAGAAGAGATTAATGTTTTAACATACTATTTTTCAATCCTATGAATATTTATGGAGTATACTAATTTATGGAGTATACTAATTTTTATTTGGTAATAGGTATAACAACACATCGCTCGCGAATAAATAAAATTTGTTAAATTGAATAGATATGTTTTTTTTATATATGTCATTTTACGATTAGCTCAATAATTAATAATTAATTAATTAATAAAGATTTATAAACATGTGTGCATTCGTACAGTTCAGCGGCAAAAACAGATAGTATTACACGCACGCACGCACGCACGCACGCACGCATGCATGCACACACAATGTTAGAACTCAGTCGATGCGTGACGCTGAACTCTCTTTTTCGCTGAATAAAATAATTAACCCGTTTTACTTACTTACGGTGATATCATACCTATTTTATCAGACACCTGTATATATACTCGTATATATATATGCAAATATATACAAATAGATTAGTATATTTAACTGATAATTCTAGACAAATTTTTATCAAAATAATGAACTTTACATATATATATTTACGAGTAAACATTAATTAGAAATAGTAAATAGGATTATAACAATAAGATATGATCTTTATTTAGGTAATTAAATGCATACTGATATTATAAAATAGCAAACAGAGTTGTATCTAAATTAGTTTAATATTTACTGAATTCTTTGTTGTTTTCGAACAAATTATCAAAATACACCTTCAGCTTTCCAATTGACGGTACGACACGGAAATGTTCTATAATCCATTTATCATTTATTACGTGACCTATTACATCACACGTTCCTCTAACATCATGTGCTGTTGCATTTATATGATCTGGTGCAAAAATTATAACAAAGATATATTATAACATGGAATACTTTTTATAATAGAACAGTTATTTAAATAAAACGTTATAATAGTATTTATAACAGCAATTAAAAAAATATATCTTGAAAATTGTAAATTTAAAATTGTAAAGTAATTAACTTTTGTTGTTTTTCATTAACGTCATCTACATCGTGGGTCTTTCGTGCCAGTACTAAATTTCTCCTACTGAACCAGTTGTGAAAAATTGGAAAAAAATTTTTTTATTGTTTTTTATTTCTACTTTGTATTCTAAACATTTTTGAACTCAGATATTATATTTTTTTATATAGCAAAATACAGAGGACAATATAGAAATTTTTTAGTTGTTAAAAAAAATTATAATTTTTCAGTACGTTGAAAGAAAAATAATCTGCTTAGATTCACACTCTTAAGGGATGACTCCTTACAAAAAAAAATAGTTTAGAGAAAACAGTTTTCGCTTGCTGAGAAAACTCTAGTTATTGCGAGAAGTAAAAATTGTCATTTTTTGCACACCAAAATAAAGCATTTTTTGAAAAATAAATTCAATTTGTTGTCGGAAAATTATTTATTTAACATTACAAAAGTATGAAATAATGTTAGTACAGAGAAATTTTATAATAATAAAAATTTATAATACTAAAATTTTTTTAAAACAGACGATTCAAAGGAATTGTCTTTATCGGCATTTTGTACATTGTCTTAGCGAGAGTATAAAGAGAGTGACGTCAATTAACCGGAAGTCGCCATTTAGTGTCCTACACCCGGGGTATATATGATGCAATTCCTTGTTTTAACCTCTTCTTTCTTTAACGTTGTCTTCTTTCTAACTAACAGTAAGGCGGAATCAATCAGCATTAGGCACTTGCATTGGCGCCACTCTCTTTATATCCACTCTATGTCGCTCACGACATCTTTAAAGTCCGCCTCACTATGCGAAGCTTTGCTATAAAATATTTTGGTTCTTCGTGATCCTAAAAGTTGTTCAATTTCTTCAACATTGTTACGTGTTTTTGTAGTTTTAGCTAACGCAGTCTACATCGTAGGTCTGCACTTCCTCTCTAATCTATCTCGCAATCTACAGCTACTTGAAATTTTGATTATTCCTTGAAAGATCCACGATGCAAATGGAGAGTTAGTAATAACAAATAAATTTATAAATGTGTACAACACACACACATTTATAAATTTATAATTATTAAGAAAATTTATTTTAATAATTGTAATTATTTAAATTGTCTGAAAATCTTACAATTATTTAAATTGAATTTTCTCTAATAAATATAATTATTTTAATAATGGGATAATACCAAAATAAATTTTGTTAATTTTTTTTAAAGAAAATATGCAGTGTAATATATACATATATTTATCTTATTGTCGTAATTGGAATATGAACAAAATATACATAATATATATTGTTTATGCCGAATGAATAAAATTTATTATCATACCTTCACCATTAGTTCTGATAAACGCATTTAGAGTACCATTTATTTTCACGTCACTTTCTAGAGACATATTCGGTATTAATGCGTAAATTTCCACACGGAATGTATCATTAAGAAAATGCGGTTTCACATCAAGAAAACGCAACTTTGATAAACCGATGATAGTGAGATTTGAAAAAATTACTTCTGCTTTTATTTCATCAAAATTGAGTTCAAATTTACCATATTTATGAACGAATGGATCCAAAGGTGGAATATCAAATTCTGGAAGTCCTACCAAGATAAATTCATTAATTAGAGAGAGAGAGAGGGGGGACAGAGAGGGAGAGGAAGAGGGAGAGGGAGAGGGAGAGAGGGAGAGGGAGAGGGAGAGGGAGATGGAGAGAGGGAGAGAGGGAGAGGGAGAGGGAAAGTATCCATAATTTAAAATAATTTTTATGATTAAAGACTTTATCTTGTACTTGTTTTAAGTAAAATTTCAATGTTTTAGTTTATCTTATTTTACTATAAGAGAGTTTACGTTATTTTATATGCATATAAATTATTTACAACCTATATAAGTTACAACAATAAAAATTAAAAATTTTGTTAAAATTGTACCTTTTACGATTAGTTGCCATCTTTCTTGAAAACTTTGTTTTAAACAAGTGTAGTAATCATTTGAATCTCGTTTGCATGTAACTGGAGCTAAATGAAAATAGAATTAAATAAAGTAATAGTAAAAATATAAAATACAAAAATAAAAATCTAATAAACTGAGATCAGAAGAGATTGTGGTGGCCATAGGGTGATTCCGCCTCGTCCTATCTATCGGTTTGCGAAGGTATTGTTTAGGAATGTTCTCACTTCAAAATGGAAATAAGACGGAGCACCATCGTCATAGGTATATCAAATGCACATCAATCATTTTAGCATAAGTGTACATTACCATTTTGCCACTTTTAGGGTCGGTTGTTTCATCTTTAGATGAACTATGTGATAATTTACTTATTGGATAAACAAAAGAATAAAGGAGTAAGAACATGAGAGAATAAGATAGTAAGCTGAAATTTACAGAAAGGTGGAACAATCCAGCCTTAGAGAATAGTATTTAGAACAGTAACCCGCGAACATAAAATACCGACTGCTTGAAATTCTGTTCGATTTATTGATGGATATTCTTTAAACACATTAGAGTCGAGATGTGCTAAAATGTACAGTAACGTATGTTGACACACAAGGCGAGCATTTCGAACACTTTCTTTAATCATTTGTAACTCAAAAGCTAGGTATGTAGGACATATTTTTATATAACGTTTTTTACTTATTTTATTGTATAGATTTATCTCCTAAAGTATTGACATGCATTTATAAAACACCCTGTATATTCGTTAAAGGTAGGGGAAGTCTAGGCAAAGCGAATACTCTGGCCAAAGCGAATATTTTTTATTTTCGTTTATCTATCGGAGATAGTACCATGAGTCTCTAACTGTTGAAGGAATGATCGATCGGCGACGCCATGAAAGTGCGAAACAACATATGATTGCACTCGTTTATGCTTGATAGAGAAATAAAAGAAATTGTGTGTTTTCTTGCGATTTTTGCTAAGGTACGTAGTTTAATTATTAATAGTAACTGTTTCTTAACCAGTGTGAATGATTTTTTATACAAATTCTCTGACTTTAAACGTGTGAGGTTTTTCACTTGTTGCTTAAATTTATTCTAACTTTTCAAAATTCGTGCCAAATAGGTTCTTTGGACAAAGTGGATAGGGGCAAAGCGAATGGCCCATCCTTTTTATCCAGTACGTAATTGCACTGAAAATACCGAGAAGACGGAGGGATAGGCGATTTTTCGAGTGAACGAAAGGCAAATGATTGTCTCATTTTTGTTTTTTTTCCACAACGCAGTATGATATGTGTTCTGAAGAATACCGACTCATTGTCCGAAGACTAGATTTAGTGCATCAAATGAAGGTTGTACTATATATAGAAGATTAGGCAGCTACTAACTTTGTGACGATTGCTAAGATTAATTTTGATTCTTTTTATTCCATTCTCGAGGAACTCATCCGCTTGTCCAGGGGGGGTCGGACAAAACGAATGATTTCTCTTTATTTACCCTTTGATTAAAAAAACATTTAAACGTTCGAGTTTTATAATTTAATTTAATTTTATTTCAAAGTTGATTTCTAAAAAAAGTTATGAGAATAAAAAAGGTTTCTGATCTTAACTATGTCATTTTAACTATGTCATTTTTTTCCCAAAGAACCTTAACATATCCGCTTTGCCTGGACTTCGAATCCCTATACTATAATTTCATGTTTGAAATTATTAGATATGTTACCATAATAGTAATTTTGTATAGTCAACGAGATTTATGTAACTAAAACAATTGATATATTCAAGTTAAGGTATAGTAATTCCATAATATTTTCTTTAAAAGATACATGTGTACTAAAGAATTCTTTTTAAAAAGACTCACGAATTTCAGTTTTTCCCGCTGAGGACAATCCAACCATTGCAATGTTGAATAGACTAAACACATAGAAAAACATTTTCTCTGTATAGTATATCTGTGAATAATGCAATTGCTTCTGCGAACTGAGTTATACTGAAATCTCGTAATAATGAATCTTGAAAATTTTGAAGCGTTATATGAACCCCTTCTACCCGAGTAGCACAGCAGCGCTTGCAAAGCGTTAAAAAAGCGATAATATGCGTATTTTAGTGCTTTGTTAACGTTTTGTAAACGCTGTGTGCTACTTGGGTATATAGATTTGAGTAGTATGAGTGGAGGTAGCAGTGGAATCGCGTGGCCTCCAATACGGTCTCGAATTACATAGTTTAGAAATAAAAGATGCAATATCTCTATCACGAGATTTTAATGTATATATAATTATAATTTACATTATTTAAGAGCTTAGTATCATATATGAATCGTAAGATCAGATAACGCTATAGACATGCAAAAAATAAAACATGAAAAGAGTTTATATCAAAACCTTAATCTTTTTTTATGCAAATGTTCTTTGCTATTCATATGCTGTCGTTAGTGTGTTTACATATCTGTGTGCACAAAAACAATTGTTTAATAATTAATTCGTGTGCCGTCTTGTTAATATTAAAGATAAAGTAAATTTATACAAAATCTACTATAAAATTCTATATAAATTATTATTTTTATTCAGAAAAACTGTAAATTTCAAAAGCTGAGAAGTAATTAATATATAAATAGAATTAAATTTGTTGAGTTTAATATAATTTTCGTGTTAAAATTTAATTAATTTTCACATTTAAAAGAAATATACTTATGATTTTACTGCGAATTTAACTCTTACGTAATAGAACAACAGACTCATCTATTATGTAAATGAAGTGGAAAAAATGATTATTATATTTTCATTATCTTCTCGCTACACGTGTAATATTTTTTTATCGATAATTTATAAGAGTTAAAGGAGGGGGCTCCTTTTGCCTACAAATTGATTACCTACAGCACTGTTTGGCTACATCTCATTTGCCTACAAATCGATTACCTACATGTATTATTGCCTACAGCTCGATTGCCTACATGCACTTTTGCGCATAAGTAAAATTTCAAAAACAAAGTCACGATTGCCTACATGTAGTATTGCCTACAAGTATTATTGCCTACAGTTCGATTGCCTACATGCACTTTTATACACAAATAAAAATTTAAGAAACGAAGTCACATTTGCCTATACGTATTATTGCCTACATGAATTATTGCTTACATGTATTATTGCCTACAAGCACTTTTGCGCACAATTTAAAATTTCAGAAATAAAGTCACATTTGCCTACATATATTATTGCATACAGCTCGATTGTCTACAAGCACTTTTGCACACAAATAAAAATTTTAGAAACGGAGTTACTTTTGTCTACATGTATTATTGTCTACAAGTATTATTGTCTACAGCTCTATTGCCTACATGCACTTTTGCGCACAAATAAAAGAATGCTTTTAGAAGCAGAGTTATTTTTATCTATATATATTATTGCCTACTGCTCGATTGCCTACATGTATCATTGCCTACAGCTCGATTGCCTATAAGCATTTTGGTGCACAAATATAAAATTAAAGTTAAGTAAGAAAATAATTTATATTTTTAGAAAATCTGTCATGTGAATAGTGAGGCGTCAGCGTAGACAGTGTCCGTTTAGAATATTTTTCCAAAAAAATCTATCCCTAGCCAACCTATTTTTTTGGTGTGACGTGGCCCTCATTTCGCGTGGAAGGTTGTGAGCTGTAAGTAATAATATATGTAGGGAATCGAGCTGTAGGCAATAATACATGTAGGCAATAATACATGTAGGCAATCGTGACTTTGTTTTTAAAATTTTACTTGTTCGCAAAAGTGCATGTAGGCAATCGAGCTGTAGGCAATAACACATGTAGGCAATCGATTTGTAGGCAAATGAGATATAGGAAAATGGTGTTGTAGGCAATCAATTTGTAGGCAAATGGAATTTTCCCGAGTTAAAAACAAATGATGACGATAAACATTTTTGAAATGTTTTTCTTTATTCCGAATTAAAAGAAACACTTTTGCAGATGTGGTACTGATTATTCTTAAGGATTAATTATGGTATCTAGAAATACAAAAATTAGAACAGAAATAATTTTACATTGCAATTATAATATTTTAACATATATATTTATTTTGCTTTCAAACAATAATTAAAAAACAAAGACTAACTTATATAGAATTGTAGAAAAGTAACCTATATATGTTTGAGTTTAAAATTCTGAACATTCTTTATTTTATAAGATATTTGTAGATACTGTGTTGACTTATGTAATAAATATATAAATTTTTATAGAAATATTTTTGAGAAAGGCACTTTCGAGCAGAACTTATTTGCAAAGTCAATCAAAAGCAATTCTATTCTATCGAACAAGGATGACATTGCCACTGGATAAAAGCTTAGCCAGTTTTCATTTACAAAATTTATGATGACGTCAGCTGAAAATAAAAATTGACATATAAAATGACAATGTATGATTTAAAAAAAAAAACTAATTAGAAAGATAAATGTAAGATTACAATATATGTAAATGTAATTGTAATTAATTTTGTTGTAAGATTTTATATTTACAAAAATAGCAACAATAAAAATATTGCGATAAAAAATGACAAAATATGATTTAAATTTGTAAAATATGTACTTTTAACTTTTATCTTCTTTTAAATCAGTGATTATTTCATTATTATAATTTAAACAATGCATAATTATATTAGTTGGAGTTGGAATTAGAAAAGGACAAACATGGTCAGTGATAATAGGCTACAGTTTTGTTATAAATATGAGAAAAAAATCAGTCTCATTACTTGATGGGCGTACTACATATGTACAAATTATGGATTATTAATATTTAATTAATTATTCTAGATAAACTTTTATCAAATAGCAAGAGAATTTTATATGTAACATATAAATGTATATATTTATTGTTAAATAGGAAATCAGATATGAGTCTTTGTGTTCAGGTAATTTAATTCCCACTGGACAATACAACAATAAACGGAGTTACGTCTGGATTAGTTTAGTATTATACTTACTGGATGCTTTTTTTTCTTTGACCACATCATCATAATACAATTTAAACTTTCCAATTGACGGAACAAAATAGAAATGTTCTACAATCCATGTATCGTTTACTACATGTCCCGTAAAATTCGTAGTTCCGCTGACATCTTCCAAGGTCAGATTATAATATCCTGTTACATAAAAATTATTTTAACCATAAAAGTACAAAATATTTTTTAATAAAATAGTAATGATTAAAAAAAATAATGATTATTTTTTTTAAATTGCTACATTTATGTAAAACAATAATTATTAATTTTATATTAAAGATTAATTTATGTTATATATATATATACATATTTCTATGTATTATGTATGTCGTTAAATTTATGAACCGATTAAAATTATAACAAACAGCTAATTTTATTACATTATAATATTGGGACCTTGAATAAGTTCTCACTGATTTTTCGTGAAAAGTAATGCTTTATTTTTAAAAAGTCGTAAAAAACACTGAAAGTATTGTCCATCGCTAGCCACTACTTTTTCCCATCTTTCTGGCAGCATTTGAATTCCACGTCGGAAAAATGACACATTTTTTTAGACTATCCAAGAGTCAACCAATTTTTTGGCATCATTATAAGAATGAAAGTGCTGCTCAGCCAGCCCATGTGCCATCGATCGGAACAGGTGATAATCGGAAGGGGCAATGTCTGATGAATACGGCGGGTGGGGTAGGACTTCCCATTTAAGCGTTTCCAAGTAGGTTTTCACCGGTTGTGCAACATGTGGCTGTGCGTTGTCATGTTGCAAAATCACTTTGTCGTGTCTCTGCTCGAATAGCGGCCGTTTTTCCTTCAATGGTCGGCTCAAACGCATCAATTGTAGTCGATAGCGAGCTCCCGTAATGGTTTCGTTCGGTTTGAGCAGCTCATAATAAACTACACCCAGCTGATCCCACCAAATGCAGAGCAGAAGCTTCGAACCATGGATATTCAGCTTTGCCGACGATGTTGATGCATGGCCGGGCTTACCCCACGATCTTCTACGCTTAGGGTTATCGTAGTGTATCCACTTTTCATCGCCAGTCACAATACGATGCAAAAACCCTTTCCTTTTCTGCCGTTGAAGCAGCTGTTCACACGTGAAAAGACGCCGTTCGACGTCTCTCGGTTGCAATTCGAATGGCATCCAATGTCCTTGCTTTTGAATCATTCCTAATAATTTCAAATGTTTCGAAACTGTTGTGTGATCAACTCCTAATGATTCTGCGAGTTCAGCTAGCATCTGACATGAGTCTTTATGCAGTAATGCCTCCAATTCTTCGTCTTCAAACTTTTTCGGTGCGCCAGAGAGTTCTTTATCTTCAACATCAAAATCATTATTTTTGAAGCGTCTAAACCAATATCTGCATGTTGTTTCCGACAGAGCATGGTCGCCATAAGTCTCAACAAGAATTCTGTGTGCTTCAGTTGCAGATTTTTTTTTAATAAAGTAGTGCAGGAAAATTCCCCGCAAATACTGTTTTGTTGGCACGAAACTCGACATGTTTAATACTATGAAACAAAAAGTTGTTTACACTTCGGCGAGGCATAAACTGAATTTCAAGCTTGCTTATCATAGTTTCTTATGGATGTATTCCCATCTTCAACTACACGCACGCAGTTCTATTAACGCGATCTGTTGGAAAACAGCGAGAACTTATTCAAGGTCCCAATAAAACTTTGCTAATTTTTTTAAAGGAAAACATAATTCAATATATGATCTTTATAAATAAAAATACACTAAAATATATAAACGTATAAATTATGTTCTTAGTTCCGTCTATTTAAATTATAATTATAGAATGTATTATCGTACCTTCATTAGCAATTCTGAATACATTTAAATTACAGTTAATTTTTATAGCACCTTTTAAAGATATCCTTGGTATGTTTATGTCAGTTTCTAAACGGAAAACATCATCAAGAAAATACGTTCTTACATTTAAAATACGAAGTTTTGATAAACCAGTTATAGTGTTATTTGACAAAATTAATTCTCCACGTATGTTGCCTGAATTCATTACAAATTTTTCGTATTTGTGAAAAAGCGGATCCAAAGGTGGAATGTCAAATTCTGAAAGTCCTATCAAGATAAATAAATTAATACCAATATCCGTATTTTTAAATGTTATTTGATTAGAATATTTTTATTCTTTTTAATTTTTTTAATTCACAACATTTTATGAATTATGTAAATTAGTATACATCATGTATAAAGAAAGAACGTATCGGAAGACCAATATACAAATAATAATAATTTAATTTAGACTACTATATGAATAAATCAAATATGCAAAGAAAGGACTAATACGATCGCAGCTACTCTTCGTGCCTAATTTATATGTAAATTCTAATTACATACATCTTTTAGTTATATGTATAAATTGCGCGCTGTTTACTGTCTGATTTGAAACGTAATCATAAATTAAACGCTGTATATATTCCTGTAAATTTCAATGAATTGTAATTTTTTTTCAATCAAAACATTTAATACAATAGAATCTAATGCCGTAATAGAAAAATTTTTTGATAAAAATTGATAATGTTAAAAGTTCTAAAAACGTAAGCAAGTGTTTTACGGAATAGTATAAAAAAAAGTTTGTTTTGGTCGAGGGAGTAACCACTAGCTAAAATATTGTCCCACAGATTACATGACATCATATGATTTCATCTGATTACAAATAATTTTTTTCACTACATATCTAAGTCATTTGGTAAAATATTCGAATTTATTTAATATTGTACAATGATTTATCGTGGTTGCATGCACATGTAATTATCGGATTATACATAGAGATTTCATATGAATTTTATAATGATTTCGAGGACTCTGTCCCACGATTACATTAAGTGGTTACCCCCTCGGTTTTGGTCTAAAAATCTTTGGTCTAAAAAAAATTTTTACAACAAAAATTGAAAAATAGATAAATTGTATTAGAAAAAGAAAATCATTTTTTATATACAATTCAAAATCCCGTAATATCATCTATATAATTTTCGCTCGGATTTAAAAGATCCGTTGAAGTCGAGAATTAAGATGTTCATTAGCATCATTATTGAAAACCAATTTAGTTGCGATACTTGATTATTTCAATTTGTAATTACGTTTTAAGTCCA